CCCTAAACCTAATCGTAGCCCATCCTACATCATGTTATCCACAGAACAATCTAAATAAATCACCAGAAAATCAAAGTATACCAGCATTGCCTCTACAACCCCTTGCAAGTTTTGAATGTTTTCTCACTATATTTATCTGAGCCCAGTTTGTCCCTCCCCCTTTTGTTTTAGTTTTTTGAGACAGGGTCTCTCTATGCAGCTTAGGCTGAACTCGAATCCACTATGTAGCCCAGGTTGCCTTGAACTCACAGCAGTCTTCCTGCCTCAGCCTTCTGAATTCTGGGATTAGAGATTTATACCACTGTGCCCCAGCAATTTGACCTTTCAGCATTACCTTAAATCAGTCTCTGCTCACTGGAGTCCATTTCATAGCACCTAATTTCTACAATTCAAATGAGACTACCTTTGGCTTTCTTGGGTTCTGTTCTATTTATTTTGAAACACTACTTCCCTGTCTTTGCACGACAACACACTATATCTATGTCCTTATCTACATCTATACAGTTAGTACATGTACAGTTTTATTGTATACAGCTTGATATTGCTTGTTGCAGGTAACCTCATAATACCTTTTATGAATCAGATACTAAGCCTAAGAACTATACAGACATATTCATATATTAATTTTAAATTTTATTATTTATGTATGTTTTAATTCCAGCAACAACCTGTGAGGTGACACTACTGTTGTCCACATGTTATCCCAGAGGAAACTGAGAGTAAGAGAAATTGAATGACCTCCGCAGGTTCTCAAGAGTCATTCATAGAGCTAGAATTGTACTGCAGATACATGGGTACTGAGCCACTCGATCACACCTTCATATTATGTGAAATATTTTTCTGATTATGGGTTTTATAGTAGACATGTATTTATCTACTAGGGCTACTATAACAAAATATCACAGACTGGATCACTTATAGAGTAGAATTTTATTTTCTCATAGTTATGGAGGCTGAAGACTGTTTTATGCTAAGGTCTCTTATCTCTTGGTTTGCAGATGGTTGTTTTCGTACTGTCTCACGTGGCCTTTTCCCTTAGTGGCCGTGCTCCTGTATCTCTTCTTGTAATAAGGGAATCAGTCCTATTGGATTAGAACTCAAAACTGAGAACCTCATTTTAGGTTAATTACTCCTTAAAGCTTTATTTTTAAATGTAATTAAATTGTGGTTAGGACTTCAATATTGGAACGGGGGAATACACTTTGGTCTAGGAAACAAACATTACTTAATGGTTAATCATAAAATATATGTCATATTTATATTTCTTTTTGATAAATTTTGTCCTTTTTCAAAACTCCACTTAAACTATTTCAACATGAACATTAAAAACAAAATAAAATTTTAAAATGATTAATTTTATGGAGGATTCAATCAGTAATTTTATTAAGAATGCAATTTTTTGTTAAGAATATGATTCTATTTGCTTCTAATCTGATGCATTATTTAAAGATTTTGATTGAATAATTATATAATTTATATAGCAAAATAATTTTCTTTATAATATTTGTAATTATTTACTCTATAACTTTTATGTTCAAGTTTGCAACATTCCAGTAGATTTTTTTCCAAAATGTTTTACTAAGACAATAATATTAATATTGAAACAATAATTTCAACTATATGGTTCTTTTTAGTTGGCCATATCAGTTTAGTTATCAGGAGAACAGTGAAGACATTCACAAGAAGTTGTGTCAATAGATATTTTCGATGAGCAGGAAAAAGAACTTTGATTTTTTGGTTCCGAGAGCCAAATTTACTAAAGCAAAGTGATTTTATTCAATAAGTGTGGAATTATACTTTTGATGCTGACTTTTTTTTGGGGGGATGCTGGGGATCGAACTCAGGTCCTTGAGCTTGTGAAGTAGGCTGAGGAACCACAGAGCTAAATCTCCAGTCCAATGCTAACCTTATTTTGATTAATTTATGCTTTAGACATGGTCATTGCTTATTGTTATATAGGGTCTTACTAATCCATCAAACCTACTACATTTTTTGCCCTACAGAATTAAGAAATAACTACAAAATAACCACAGAGAATGCCTAATGGAGACAAAAATATCAGATTTAAGGCTGATAAAACTATGGTTGGATGTGGCTTTGATGTGTAACCACAATAGACTGGGGAAAAAAATCTCACTCATTAAATTCTTACATACAAAGCCACGAAGAGTGAGATAGACATCTGCAGACTATCTTTAAAAAGTGACAAAGGAAAAGTAGGTCAGAATTAAGTCTGCAGTAAGGCAGATATGAAAGAGAAAGAGAAAATGGTTTTCAACTCAGCCATTTATTTTACTCTAAATAAGAAAAACTAAGTCATTATTCTTCTCGGAGGAAGTCAGTGAGGGGTGAGGAGAGAAACCAGGAATGATGAGTTTTGGCATCCGTATTTTGACTTAGACTGTGAGGAACATTAAATTAAGCACATTAGCAAGTTGCTTGCTAGTATTCTTGCAGCCCATAGAAAAATTAGTATCATCAAAGATAAATGAAGTAACCCAATTAAGCAAAACAAAATATTGACAAAATAATTATATGCACTGTTAGAAAATTCTTAGTTTTCTAGACAATTGTTTTGATGTTTTAAACAGGCAAACAAGGTCACCATTGGATTTTGGATTGATTCCAGAATGAAAAATGAGTACATTGTCCTGTTAATAACTAAAGAGTAATTTTGCATACCAGTATTGACTAAATAGTTATCTGTTAAATTGTCTTCCCCGTGTAGCATTTCACTAATGCTGTGGTTCATATAAAAATTTGAGCTCTACATAGGCAAATAAAGTGGAGACTTTTCTAGGAGAGCTGCTGTTTTCCACAGTATTATGGCTTAGTTTCCATTGTGTACTACCAGATTTCAGTTTCTTTAGGAATAGCTGAGAAAATTTATAAAAGGGAACAACATCTCAAAAAAAGAATACCTGAATCACAATTACTATTCATAGAGAGAAATGATCCTGATAATTGTCTGCAGCTACACTATTTGTAGTAAGCATCACTGATATACTAAATGAAATTGCACGATCCAACCAGTTGAGTTAGCCTTGTATTCCTAGGTATAACTGTTAGATTTAGCAAATAAAAACTTTGAACTACTAGTGTAATTTGTATTTTAGATAAACAATGAACTTTTTTAGTGTAAGTATGTTGCATAGAATTGTTGGGGCATATTCTTGGTAATATATTGTTAGTTGTCTGCCTTTAATTCAAATGTCACTGGACATTTTTGGTTTTACCTAACCCTATGGGAGGATATATATTTCTGTTCTTGCCCTAAAAATGTGTAATCAAATTTATTGTTTTACTTGAATCTTAATCTGATAAGCTTATGATTATAGTAGGTCTTGTAGCAAACATATTCTGTGAACAATTATTTTGCATTGCTTATTCCTTATGAGATAAGGGTTTTCACTTATGGATTTTAAAAATAAGATATATGTGCATATCAACTTTAAATACTTCAACTGAAAATATTAAGTCTTTCATATTAAAGTGAAAAGTTTCTATTCAGAAGAACAAACTGATCAAAAGTACTCTATGAAAAATAATATGTATCTATTCCAGTGCAGAACTTATTTATTAAGGTGAGCTTTGTTGGCAATTTAAGATCTTTACTTTGATGCCTAGGTAAGAAATGTATTTTTAGGTTTTGATAAAAAAAAATTTAGTACTTCTTTCAGTAAGCATGCTTGTCTGAAACTAAAGTGGCTAAACATATTGCAGCTCTAAAGCAGGGCTTTAAAGATTATCCTCACGGGTTAAAATGTTACTCTTGGGAGGAATTATGTTTATTGAAGTATGTGTCCATGTGGCTTTATATTTACATCTTATGAGAACTTGGAATCTAAAAAATTGAGACTTGGTGCTGTTTATAAAATGCTCTCTTGCATTAGTCTGTTTTCCATTGTTATTACAAAATCCTTGAGATTAATCGCATTATACAGAAGACAATTATATTAAACTCACAGTTTTGGAAACAGAACGTCCAAGACTGGATGTCTCCATTGATTAGGTTACTGGTGAAAGTACCCTTGACTACAACGCTTCAAGGGACAGCACATAGAATATGAGGAAATTACAAGACTGGAAACCAGACTACTGGGAAACAAAAATAACATAAATGGAAACTACTTCAGTATCTCCTCAGTTTGTGTCTCAAATAATCTCTTCTTGCTCCGTTTCTCAAACACTGTTTCTCAATATCACCACTGTGAGGACCCAGTTTCCAACACACAAAACCATGGGGATACATTCAAATCAGATTCAAACTAAGCATCTGAGTAAAACCTTGCAAACCTGCAGCCAGAGGGTGTTTTCAGGGAGAATTAATAAAATCAAAATGATACAATTTTCATTCTAAAAACATGTCATTTTAGAAGGCAGACAAAATGATATAATTATATACTTCCCCAAAAGTTGTAACTAAGTTCTGTTCCACAAGATTCTTTCCATTCTAAAAAGAAGCAAAGCCAAACAAACAAAAATTAAGATGGATTATATTAGATGCATTATGTAATGAAGTCAAATATCTTTATAGCCATCAAGCTTATCAGACATATTTATATCAAGCTTTGTAAATAAATGATTTTTCAAATGATTTCCTATGTTAATATCTCTTTCTGGGATGAGTTTTTGGGATAACAGTAACCATAGTTAATTTTAATAATTTGAAATGCATGGTAAGTCAAGCAAATATCTTATCTAGCCATTTCTTGAATCGTTTCTCAGTGTGATATCTTAAAGAATCTATTGTAACTTGGTTGCTCTGAATGGAATTAGCTATGTTATTTTCAACTTCTGTTGGAACAATAGTGGTACTTGTCAGATATTTCCAATGACAGTCATTTGAAAATAGCCAAGGCTGTTTACCCATTCATGCTCTAGACAATACTATAGAGAGTTCTTGTTAACAGCTACATGATTTGAACATAAGGTAACTCCAATAATTCCTGTCATTTTCTGTAAGTAATGCGACAAACTTGATTTTATCTGTCTTCTAGATGAAATGAATGATCATCAAAGCACCCTCTCCTACATCTTGATTAACCCATCTCCAGACACCAGGCTTGAGCTGAATGATGTTGTGTAAGTTAATCATGCAGCTTACCTTAGACGTGTTTTTAGAAAACATTTCTTTTTATTTTTTGATTTCTACAGCTATAAGCCTTATTTTTCTTAAGATAAAAATGATTTAAATCTGTACCATTTTATATATTAACAAGTACACAGTATGCTGCTGTGTGGTAATGCTGTGAAAACAGAATTGTTTTTAAAAGTCATAAAATAAGGAAATATTGACACTAATTTTCTATTCAGCCAGCTAATGTATATTCAGAGAAATAAGAGAAAAATGCATGGATTAATAAGATAACATCTCAAAGGAAAGCCTGAAATAGCTAGATAGTTCAAAATGCATAAAGTCCCTAATATTCAAATTAAAATAGGTAAAATACATGCGGTAAAGGTCTCTAAGAGTAATTTGGTTCATTGAAAAATGTGGGTTGAGCATGGACAATATACTACCCTCAAGATGTGAAACAGAGGTAGCTAACATTTTTACTTCAATTGGCCTAAATTTAATTAACTACACTATAGTTTAAGCACTAAAAATTGAATAATTATGTACAATATAACTGTCAATAATAAATTACCAATTGAATGAAATAATTATTTTGTAATTTCAAGGAGGACGAATGGTTGCAAAGGATGCAAGAAATGAACTAGTCTCTGAAGGATAAATCGGATTTGTTGGGGAGAACAGAGAGCATCCCTGAACAGGGGAAATGACCTAAGAAAATATACTACATAAGAATTATATAAAAGTGCTTCACTTGATAGTTTGACAGGAGTGTGTTTTTTTCTTTCTTAGCATTTCTGTTGTTAAGAGTTAAACATAATATTGAATTTAGAACTGAATCTAGCAAGGCCAGAGGTGACAAAATGAGCTTAAACATAATTTTACAGTGCCCTATAATTTCCTTTAGTTCCTACCCACATTACTGCAGATGATAAAATTTTATTCTTTACATGACCAAACAACATTTCATTGTGGATATATAATATATTTTCTTTTTTTAAAAAATTGAGTTTATTGGTACATTTTAGGGATACAGTACAGTTACATTCATTGTTGGGATCTTGTACCTCTACATGACAGGTCTTGGTTCTCATTTTTTCCCCTTGTCTCTGCATATTTTCTTTACACATGTTTTGAACAAAATGTGTGTGGATTCTATATCATGAGAATTATAAATAGTGTTACAATAAAAATGCATGTGTGCATGTTTCCTTTACATTCTGATTCCATTTCCTTAGCTATATACCTAGTAATATCACGTGATGGTTCTACTGGTTTTTGAGGAACTTTTGGGTTGTTTTTGTTAGTGATTGTAGTAGTTTTTATTTGCATGAGTAGTATGTAATGTTTTGCCTTTTTCTACATCATCGTAAGCATTTGATACTTAGGGACTTTTAAAAAAATAGCTATCCTAGTAGATATGAGACTGTATTCATTATGGTCGTGATGTTCATTTTCCTGAATAGTGATGTTGAGAAAAAAAATTTTTGGACCATTTGTATGTCTCCTTTTGTAAAATTTGCTCCAGGCCATTTGAACATTTTTTACTTAGACTATAACACTTTTTGCTTTTGAGTTAAATTCCCTATATATTCTTAATATTAGTAGTTTGTTGGATGAACTGTACACAAATATTTTTATTTCTCATTTTGTAAGTTTTATATTCAGCTTGTTGATTCTTCCACCTGAAAGAAGCTTTTTAGTTTGATGTAATCTTGTTTGTGAATTTTTTTTCTTCTCTGTTACCTGCTTCTCTTTTCTCATCCAAAAATCCTTTGCCAAGACCAATGTCTCAAAGTGTTTCCCTTACTGTCTCTTGTAGTAGTTTTATACTTTTGGGTTTACATTTAATCATTCTATCAATTTGGAATTATTTTGTATGTAGTTGGGCATAGTATCATGGTCTATACATATGCAGCTTTTACAGAAACATGGGTTAAAGACAGGTTCCATTCCCTAACAATATGTTCTTGATTAAAAATCAGTCAGTTATGTTAGTCTTCAGCATGTAGAAAGCCTGTTTTTCCAGCACCATTTATGAAAGAGACAGTATCTCTCTTCCAGTGAACATGTTTGACCCCTTTGTCAAAGGTAAGGTGGCTGAGTCTGTTTGGAGTTCTTTCTGCATCTTCTAATCTATTCCCCTGATCCTCAGTTCTATTCTTCTGCTATTGCCATGCTGTTTTTCTCACAATACCTCTACAGTATAATTTCATGTCTGGCATTGCAATGTCCCCTGACTTACCTTTGCTGCCCAAAGTTGTTTTTACTATCCTAGGTCTCTTGTGATTCCAAATTAATTTTAGGAATGTTTTTTCTAGTTCTGTGGTGCATGTGATAGACATTTACATTTGGATTGTATTAAATCCGTATAACAGTTTTGGGAATGGGTCCATTTCATTAAGTTGATTCTTCCTACCCAAGAGCAAAGGATATCTTTCTATCTTCTGATATCCTCTGTAATATTTTTTTCAGAGTACTATAATTTTCAATGTATAGATCTTTTACTTCCTTTGTTAGACTGATTCCTAAGTATTTCATTTTTTTTTTAAGTGCTACTGTGAAAGATGTTTTTCCCCCTAATTTCTTTCTTGGTGAGTTTGTTATTTGTATACAGGAATGCTATTGATTTTTTTGAGTATTCACTCTGAAACCAGCTACATTACTGAATTTGATTTTGTGTCCTATAACATTGTTGGACATGGTTATTGTCTCTACGAGCTTGATTATGGACTCTTTAGTGTTTTCTGTATATAAAATTGTATCTCCTGCAAGGAAGGATAATTTTACCTCTTCTTTCCTATTTTAATAGCCTTTTATTTCTTTCTCTTTCTGTATTACTCTGGCTTAGGCTTCCAATACTGTGTTGAATGAGTGGTGAAAGTGAACATCCTTGTCCCATTCCTAATCTTAGAGAAATCAACTGTAGCTTTGCCACATTTAGATTAATGTTGGCTGTGGGCTTTCCATATACCAGTGTAACCTTTATTGTTTTGAGGTTTGTTCTTTCTATACCTGAGGGTTCATATCATGAAAGGATTTGAATTTTATCCAATTATTTTTCTGCATTTATATTATGATGATCACATGGTTTCTGTCCTTGATTATTTTGATATGATGTATTTCATTAATTGATTTGCATTTGTTGAAGCATTCTTTTATCACCAGGATAAATCCCATTTCCATGTAATTTTTTAATTTTTTGATGTGTTACTGGATTTGGTTTTCTGGTACGATTTTTAGAATTTTAGGTTTATGTTTATCAGAGGTATTGGTCTGGAACATTTCTTTTTGTTGTTGTGTCTTTGATTTTGGCATGCAGGTAAAACTGATTTCATACAATATATTTTTAAGTGTTGCTTGTCTTTGCAATAATTTGAGAAGAATTAGCATTTGTACTTTGTAATAAAATATTTTGGCAAAATTGAACAATGAAGCAATCTGGTTCTGGACTAATTTTACTTTCTTTTTTTCAGTTTTTTTTTTAAAGAGGGATTTTTTTTTTATCACTCATTAAATCATTTTATTTATTTATTTATTTATTTATT